AAGGCGATTGTGCTTCTCGGACCTCACGAAGAGGGCAACCAGAAGAACAAAACCCTTCCATGTAAGAAGTGAGAAGACATGAGATTATGTTTTCAAAAGACTTCCAAAACCAGTTCATTGAGTCATGAGGCCACAATTGACTGGACGTCGTCAAACATGGCATGCACCCATCAACCAACTCTGTACGCATGCGAACATCGCAATTGGCCGACAGGTCATAGACACTCTTGCTCTTGGCCACAGCGCGGAACTTGGAGAGATGATATGCCTGGGACCTGATGGGGCCATATCAGAGTTGGGGACATATTAGAGTTACAGTTACGGGCCATATCAGAGTTACGGGACTCTCAATTCTTTAGATGCTTGACACTGTTTCAACATGTTTGACACCCTGTACCTTGACAATTCCATTTCACGGACTTGGGACCCACGAACTTCTTGGTCCGATGCCACCAGGTATGCGCCCCAATCTAATTTCAACTCACACTTCTGGGGTGCCAAGAGCAAATCTGCCAACTCCTGCAAAGAATAGGGGCTTGCCCATGATTTCTTCCTCTTGTTATAGACGATCCTCCAGCTCCGCTGCCTGTGATTGGGATGCCCAAACTGCCGGGGGCACAGCCTGAGTTCGATAACTTTGTGTGGCACATCCCCAAGGAATTGTTGGAGCATCAATCCAAATTTCACTCAGCGCCAGGCTGCACGCTTTGGATCTTGTGTTTGCGTAGGTGCGTTTCCAAATAGGCCTGTGACACAATCATGTTCAAGACCTAACAAGTGAATTCCACTGCTTTTCCCCACCTGTTCATATCCTGGCACATTCTCATGCACACAGACCGGGGTCTCATCCATGAACTTCGTGGCCACATCATGAACCTTTTTGAGCACCACGTTCTTGAAGCCCTGTTTCAACCCGTACCTAGCACAACATGGTGTTGCTTGTGCATATATCTCTTCCCAAAAGAAAAGGCGTTGAAAAGCACTGCGTAGGGCACTTTGAGAAGAGGATGCACGGAGCCCCGACGAGGCAGCAGCTGTCATTGCCAATATTGAAGGGGCACCTTGGCGAGTAGCACGCGGGGAAGGAGGTAAGTAAGTGGATTAGATCCTTATCCAAGGGTTTGAAACAAAGCATTGAGAGCTGGTTCAGTTGAGACACAACTGCTTGTGTTGTTGGCAATAAGAGCTCTTCAACAAAGTCAATTCGGAAGGTTGCCTAGCCTTTTTTTTCGGAGGGTTTCTCACCACCTTCAAAATATCTGGGAAGATGCAGCTCCCTGGGTAGCACTTCTTGGAGAGTTCGATGCAACCCCGCGCCTTCTCAACCTCAAATCATTCAAGAGGTGAAGAGGCAGTCAGAAACACAAAAACAACAGCTACAGTATATACATCCTTCTGATTTTTGCTATGCACATTGTTTTGCAAAGGAACAGTGAACGTGTGGCTCAGATTACATTGTGCTCCCCAGAGATTGTTTGCAGCTGCCTCGATCATTTCCCAACTGCGGCGCACACAGAGAGCTCCCCCGAACAAATCATAGCATCTCCATGATGTGGCTCCTCACTCACTGTTTCCAGAGAAACAAAGGCCAAAAAAAGATTGCGTACCATAAAGTGGCAATGTGATCAACGATGGTCAACACTTGCAGCCAGTCTACTGAGTTTGTTCATCACAAACCCCTTCCCAAACACCAGCGCTGCACGTTCCAGCAGCTTGTAGGCCCACAGCCTGAACTGGGGACAGGTCGTGGATGGAAGGATCAATGTCAAACCATGTCAAACCATTGACTTCTTGTGGTTGACCACAAATTGCAACCTAATAAGTTGACCGGGTTTCTGGCGAAAGCTCTTGTGATGTCTTCGGCATGGGATACATTGGCCTGGGTTTGTTACAAGAACAACTGCAACCCATCAGAGACTCGTATCATTGACTCATATTGACTCTGTCTGAGGTGTGGACAGGATGTTCTTGGAGATCTCGCTATCTTCTTCAGGCTCGCTGACAAGATCGACTATTTGGGTAGAAGCTGGTCGCTTCCTGGGTGGCCTTCCATTCAGAAGGGACTGCAAAGCCATGGGAGAAAGTGCCATGGTCAAAACCAACAAACATTATATACTTTCTACCTTCTACATGGTGTCATTTGATGTGATTTGCATTCAAATCATGGTCATGAACGAGTAGAGCCACCAACTTCGGTCGCGCACTCACAACCCAACTGACGACATGCAACTTTCCCAGACCTTTCTTGTAGTCTTTCTTGTCACCCCAGTAGTTTCTCAAACATCCTCAATCGAGTTATTGACACCTTCTGCTAAAAATATTCAGAGGATCACTTCCTCTTCACTGCTTTGCTCCCCGGCGCAGTGATGCAGGTGACCTGCCAGCGCATGAGTGAACATGAGTGATTTTTGCATAGGTCGAAAGCAGTGAAAACCACAGGTCATTGATTGACTGGACCAACCAGAGTTGTTTTCCTGTTCTTGTTTGACCTGTGATTGGCATTGCACCCCAGCCCTGCCTTGTGTGTGTGGCCGATGTTCTGATTCTTCAATGGATTTCCTGCAATTGTGTTCAATCATGTTCAATCATATGGATATGATTTGGCAAGGGCCACAGTTGATGGCAAAAACTTAGACTCAACATCAGCCTATAGCTTCGCAAAGTATCACCAGGAAAAAACTGGTCCTGATGTGTCCAGTGACCAGTGCGTTGTGTGTGGAAAGGCACCTGGGTTTGGCTGCAAAGCAACCAAAGGAGACGTGGGAGCATGATATATGTGACACAATACATAGTTATAAAATGATAGTATATGATAGTATATATATGCGTATATAATCGTACATATATTGCATTTCTATGTACATATTCAATTGCCACTCCACCATGCAATCCTGTGTGGTGTCACACAAGCCTGTGCGGGCTTGATTCGGAACTGTGCCCCTTTGGCAAGCCCCACCTCCCAAAGAAAAACAGCGACTCTTGAGGATCCAACTTTTTTGTGGCGCAGTGATGGTTGAAGCTGACCACCATGGTAGGCCTGTTGCGAGATATTTTGCCTGCTGACGCGGTGACGGTGGTTTGTAGTGGGGTACGTGTTTATGACACATCACTATGTGGATATAATGTAATTGTGTTCTGCTGACTGGAGCATCTTGACCCAAAAGAACTCTCAGGCGTAGCCTTAAAACACAAAAGTTTCTGTGAGCATGTGCAACTTTTTGCAAACAATTTTTACTGCCACAAAAAGTCAGTCTCCCTTGCTTGGCCATGTTTGTGCAAAGCAGCTTGCATCAAAGCCAATGCAAATTTCACTGGCCATGTTGATGCAACTCATGAGGCATCAAAACCAGTGCAAATGTCACTGGCCATTTGGGTGGGAGTTGTTGACACTGTCTTGGTAGCGGAGATGACCAACCTCAGATGCCACCAATCCAACCTCAGATGCCACCAATGTTACTTATCTATACCGGGGTGACTTTAAAATCTTACGTGGCTGCCATGGCGTTGTTTGTGGTTGGTCCGCAACCACGAACGAACAAGAAACCCCTGAGAAAGACGTCATCTGGAATAAACTACCGGAATATATTTTCGTGCGCTTTCACACGCGGACCGAGTGGCAGCTCCCGGGACTGACGGAAAAAAATGTCTTCCCCGTCGGCGTCGCGCGCAAGCCGTGGTACTTGGACGCAGGCTGCGCCAACCCACAATTGAGAGTAACGCGCAGTCAATTCCCACTGGCGCCCGATTTC